TATATATATATATTATATATATTATATATATTATATATATTATATAATTATATATATTATAATATATTATAATATATTACATATATTACATAACATATATTATAATATATTATATATTAAATACTGATATAGACTTTGATTTATATATATTTTATATTATAATGACATGACAATATCCTGTGTAAAAACGATTGATTAATAATATCTGTGTAATATAATACGTTAATTATACTTATATAGATAGAATTCAATAATGAAAATTTTTTATTGATATCTTGGAAATTAATAAATAATCGAAATTAAAATTTCAGATTTAGAATACATTCTTCCTTTTATAAACTTTTCCAAATTTCATGTCAATCATAACATTTATATCATATATATCATATATTTTTCCAAAATACAGCCGAAATATATAAGTCATTTTGAACAATATGTGAACAATATTTTGAACAATATAATTTTCCTTATATAGCCAACAGCTTTAGTTTTCGAAATATTTATAAATAAAAATTGCTACAATTGCAGAATTTCATTATGCATATATGTATTTAAGTTAATAGCATAAAAATACTATTTATTAACTGCTATTTATTAACTTATATAGAAATAAGTACATTAATTGGCATTCAACATGTATAATGAATGAATTAATATCAACATATTTAATATTGTGCGGAGTTTAAAAATTTATTTTTTAATTTGTCTGATATGTACATTAAGTAAATAATGTAAAAAAGATTTTTTATTCGATTTTCCTATCCTCATCTTTAATACTTTTGACAATATTAATCATTCGTTTATATCTTTCTATCTAACTTAATTTTGATATGTCGTTCTCTTTTCTTCATGCATCAGATTAATGAATAATCCTTTTTGTCAAAAATAATAAAAAAATATATATATATAACATAATGTCACTTTTAAAATTGGATTGGTCGCCAATTAGATCCACATTTTTTCAAAAGATTAAATTTCTGAATATCTATCCAAGACAATATCTTTCACATCCATAGTATAAAGAGTTGATTTATATATAAAATAAAATATAAATCAACTCTTCGAATGATTGAAATTATAATGTTATAATGATAATGTTATAATAATAAATAGAAACAATAAGTATGAAGTTGATGTTACTATCTTCATAGCTTCGGTACTCGCCCAATGGATTGTTTTATATTTCGTTTTCGCATTCCACCGATCCTTTGAATCTTTATAAATCTCTTAAACTCTCTATAGATAGATACTACTGTGATGATACAAATCGATTTTTT